CACGGGTATATATACGCTCATTGTCAGACAGTCTAGTTACACTCTTTCGTAGCCAACTCATGTCATCTACTCAGACCCACCTTTGAGTATCTTGTCACACCTAGCCGTCTGCTATACCTCGCCCCTGTGTCGTATCCCCCATACCCCTACTCGAGCATTGTGACTGGAGACCTGACCCTTACCGGTTAGTCGAAAGGAGCAGCGCTGACAGTACTCTACTGTATAATATAAGTACTCCATCCTCTAAAAGGAGAAGAACCGAAATTCACCTTGATACGAGTACCTCGAAAACTAATACCGGATGGACACTAAATACCATCACCGAGACCGCGACCGTAGTGGACCAGTTACCTACCTACTAGTAGTATAGAACGGCACCCGACAGGGTTGACACAGCATGGAAACAGCATCGATTCAGGGTGAATGTACTTTAAATTCAAAGTGCATAGTACTAAGATGTACTATTAAGTACTAAGCACTTAAAGTACAACGTGAAAACTTCTATGTCTGCTATGTATGCTCTTCTCCACCATTAGTAAATATACGTGAACTCATCATTCTTCCCATCCGTCAGATCCAGGAACGCATTGTCACCCAGTCTGCGTCCATTGTCGGTCTCGTCCATCGGGACGTATTTGTCCTCCATGGAGTGATCCTTGATCTTTGCGGCCTTGCCGTTCTTGACCCGTCGCCTGGATTGCATCTTGTTCAGGAAGAACAGGTTGGCCAGCTGGATCAGCACCACGGCGAACATGGTGACGAAGATGGCCAGGACCTTGCGCAGGCCGGGATGATACGCCGGAGCGTCCTTCTTGTTGAACAGTAAGGGGCCGACGATGTTGCCGGCACTAGATCCGGCGTTGTAGAGGGACATGATGACGGATTTCTTCGTGCTGCCAGCGGTGTTGCCGACGATCCAGGAGACAATGAGCGGATTGCCGCCGAAAAGGAAGGCGAGGAGATAGTAGGCCACCAACAGTCCTGCAGTGGCGCTCGACTCCCGTGGAAGGACATAAAGGACGGCAAGGCCGGCAATCACGGGAAGCATGAGTCCTGCAAGCACGAACGACTTTAGTTTTGCCTTTTGTGCCGCCCAGGACGCGAGCAGGATGACGATAAACTGCATTGCACCGAACGGCATGTTCAACAATGACGTTTTGTACTTGTCGAAGCCAACACCCTGGAGAATGAGTGGCCCGAAGGTGTTGGTCACGGCAGCTCCCACGTTGAGAAGCAGGGAAAGGCCGATCCAGAGGTATGTCTTGGGTTCCAATGCTAATTCGGCAATGTGCGACCACTTGAATTCCCGGTTGCCGGTGCCGGTTTGGTTGGCTCGGAGGCGTTCGATGGCCTGTGCCTTCTCGTGCTCTGTCAAGAAGCGCGCTGACGGGATATCGTTGTCGAGGAAATAGTAGATAACCGGTGCGGTGACGATGGTGACAAGCCCTACAAAGAGGAAGATGATCTGCCATTCCTGAAGCACACTGGACTTGATGCTTCCGAGTCCGTACGAAAATGCTGACGCAGCGATTGTCGCGAGACCATTTGTGCCATACCAAGCCGCAACACGGAGCGGTTGCTCCGCTCGACGGTACCACTGGCTTGTGACCACGCTGAAGAGCGGGAGACAGCCGGCCTCGAACAGCCCGAGGAAGAAACGAGCAGCCAACAGTGAGGGGTAATTATGGCAGGCTGCCATGGAGGCTTGAGCAATTCCCCATCCAAGGCAAAGTGTCGGCATGAGGATGCGGTGCGGCACTCGGACAATCAAGAAGGATGAGAAAGGTTGCCACGCGAGTTGTGCGATAGGAGCAATAGACCCCAGGAACGAGTACTGGTCGCCGGTGAGGCCGGTATCGGTGGTCATGCCAAAGAGAGCGCCGTAACCGAGCACGGTTTTGTCGAGGATCTGGAGGAAATAGACCCATACTAGAATAACAAGAATCGTTCTGTCCGTCTTGCGTCGAATACGTTTGTTCTGACGATGATGTTAGCACAAAGTCAGTCGGCAAGATCCACCTAGGAAAGACTTACATCTTCCTCGGTTAATTCCACTCTCTCATCTCCTACAATCGCCAGTGCCCGGTCGGCATGTTTCAGCGAAGCTTTGCGTTCGATGGTGTCCTTGGATAGCCGGCCGGACTCGACATCTTCGGCATGAGCCATCCTCACAGTCTTGTCGTCGATTGCAGCCATTGAAGGATCCCAGATTCCAATTGTTTCGGTTGTCCTTATCCTGAGGAATTCTTGGAGCTATGACAGACCACAGGCAAGGAAGGAGGTCAGGCTGATATTTAAACAGAAATCACTCCGGCACCTCACTCGTACAAGAGTGATCTAGGCGAGTCGAGGAGGTTGAAGCTGGAAAGATGTCGACCGTGTGGGGTCTGGGCAGGTGTCATTCGACCTGTATCCTGTTTTGCCAGAGAGCAGATTTCTGGGGTCGAACGTTCGAAGATTCCTTCCGCACTCATCTTTCGGGAATGGTTCGGTCTTGTTGAAGTCATTGAAGATCATACGGCTACCCCGCAATGCTGTGGCGGCAATTGAAAAGCAGGATGGAAAATCGCAATTGTCGAATCAATTTTAGTGGCGTACTGTCGCTCCGGGGAGCTAGACGGGCCGGACTTGATCGGTTGCACTTCCGTCGCCTAGTCCTCTTTGACAGGCTCAGAGTGCACCTTTGACATACTCGTGGGGGTCGGTGTACCAGCAAGTCGTATCCCACGCATAACCCCACGGTCGTAGCCGAGCGACGGTACTGTATTTCTTCCGTCACTAGCCGCCGAGATGAGGGTGTTCTGGAGCTTGTGAATGGTATTTGGTGGTACCACACCGTACTTGGGGGGAAGCATGTCTCCGTGTAGAGGGTTTCAAGCTCTATTCCACTTGTGGTTGAACCTCGGCTGTCTTCGCAGGGTGAACCTACGCCTCTACTCCGTCGGCAACTGAACCAACCCAATAAGCGTTCGTCGGCTATCCGTTACCCCAGATACGGGGTATCATGGCGCGGAGTTTGCGCGGACCAGAAGGATCGAATCGATGGCCTCCCCTCACTGTGTACTGTATCCATAAATCCCTTTCCGTTGCGCCTGGAGCTCCAGCCCGTGAGACCACGCATGGCTGCTGGTTTCTAGGCTTATGGTTGGCCACAGAGTCAATCTAGTGGATGTTGTGCGGCTGATGCGTGTCTGGGCCGTTCAGGACATTGCGTCCCATCGCGCGGGGTTGCGCACGTCGACCCCAGAAATGTAGGGGGTCGTTTGGGACTTGCCCTTACCAACTTGACTCTCCCACAGGCCACGAAGTGCGGAAGCCGAATCGTAATGGTTGTACAGTTTGAGTTGAGCGGCGGCATCCTCCCACTTGACATATGACACCAGGAATATTTCCGACTAGAGTAGAAGCAAGTCCCATTCCTTATGCCCAGAAAGGTCAGGGGCACCACTTTGATCCGAGGCTGACACATTCCGGGTCTTAGACGCTTTGGAGGTGATCGTGCTGGCATATTGTGTGAGCGAAGTCGACGGCGTTGCCTGCCACGCCGAGGGCCGAACATTCGAACTAATTGTGAGTATTGTTGTGAGCTTCGGCGCAGAATTGCACTCTCGCAGACAATCACTGCACGCTGGAGGCTGTGGATAAGTCATCAAGCAGTCTCATCTTATGCCTTTTGGCCTCAACTTGCTTCTTCCAGTCGTCCCAGTCAAAGACGCCATGTCCATACGTCCACGATCCCAAGTCGCGATCTGGGAGGACTACGCCTCGTTTCTCTTGAAAGAAAACTAGGCCACCAGGGACTTCTCTTAGCGGGTTTCCTTCTCCTTCGCCGGATCTTCCGACAGGGCCAACGTTGAATCCGCAAGCCTGATAGAACCTCTCCTTCCCATCTGCGGCTATGACACTGCAGGCGATGCCCTCTCTGAGTGCTTGCTGTAACCCCCAGCCGACAAGAGCGCGGCCTTGGCCTTGTCTCTGATAATCTGGATGGACAGCCAGGCATTCGAGATACCATGATTCCGATCGTTCACCAGTCCATATATGGTCAAGGTAGTTGTAGGATCTTTCGATAATGAGTTCATCTTCCTTCGAAGCCGCTCGGTTTGGCGAGATGAATGCGAGGAATCTCATGAGAAAGCGGCATAGCGGTTGGAGCAAACGCCCTACGAAGACGCAGTTAGTATGACAACATGGACCACTACCGTGTGATTTCGAGTAATGTAGGCCGGCGGTGAAAATCTCGCTCGTTGATACGAAACGGGCATACAGATGAGAGTGGTTGGTGGAAAAAGCCCGCGCAAGCATGCCGCGTCGTGCCGAAGCAGCTTTCACCGAGATGCCCTATCCCCACCAGAAACCATTGGTCGCGACAACCGTGGGACATGAGAACCAGACTAGAAAGGCACTTACTTGGATCCAGGCCAGTCAGTCCCCATCCGGCTTCAAAATTCTCTCTCCGACCGGGAGCTATCCGACTCCAGTGTGCAAAGCCGGTGACGACCTCCTTGGTCTTGTCTGCAGCGTCAGGTCCGGTCGTCACGAGGAACACATGGCTCCAGTCCCAGAAGTCCACGACAAACCGGCGGTACCAGTACTTGTCAACATCAGCAGGGTAAGATCGCCGGTATGGATGGATCAGGCGGCCAAACAGCACATCGTCATCGAACGCCAGGGAACATGTGCGAGCTGCAGCAGGGAGGTCCAAGAAGCCTGCTCGGCGGAGTCTGAAAGTCGGCGGCAAAGGGGACGGAGACAGGGCGCATGGTACGGCTCGTTCGGACCGTGACATGGTAAGTGCGGTTGCGGATGATATTCAGGAGTCCCACGTGGCTGCTGAGTCGATGTTGTTCCCACTTCGGAGAAGCAATTGAGGTCGTGCTTACTGCGGTTCCGGCGTGCTGGTGGTGGAGTTCGAAAGGCGAAGGTTCAAGCTCACGGATCAGAAATGTGGGTAGAGCGTGAGAGGCCTAGATCAGTGGTGAGACACGCTTTGATGGGAAGAGACAGTGTGATTGCACAGCGGCGGTCGCGTGAGCGCAGGTCCCGCCGTGACAGTCAGGCCTCCTGTAGGTTCGAGACGCAGCTGCAGTCGTTGAACTTGCTTCTGGCACCGGCCAAGAAGAAAGAATATTTGATATGAGAGCCTAGTGAACAGGTGCCAAGTCAAAAGAACGTCGTGCGAGGTGACGGAACGGTGACGGTCCGGTGACTTGAACGAGATTAAACGTCGCGTCGGATAAACTTGCATTCAGGTACGAAGTACTCCGTACGGAGTACAGCTTCATGGGCGCCATCCTGGCATCATAATCGTGCTAGTGAGACGACGCAAGGTACGCGACGGGCACTTAACTGGCACCATTAGCGGGTGTTCGATGAGCGCTAGCCACTTAGTTAAGATCTTATCAGCCCTAGGAGGCGGTGGAGCACTTCTGTGGTGGACCGATAGGTACCTACCTAGTACTCATTCATGTTCGCCGAGTACGGTCCGACGATAATGTGATCAGTATCTATGGTAGTGCACAACAGACAAGTTGCTTCGGCGACTATGCAAAACAGGGCAGAGGTCTTCGATGCTCCCAGCGAACTGCCATTCCAACCCCTGACCTGCATGAGCGGGTAGAACCATTATTGACACGGGCTTTCCATCGACAATGAGAAGATGGATCTTTCGCGGCGAAGCTGGTAGTCTAGATTTCGCATGTACATAATTGATGAAAACATCCACATGTCTATACAAGTTCCTGCCAGTTTTGAGACCTCATCACGTCTTTTTCCCATATCCGTCATTCACAGCACCATGGTACACTCCAGTGCAAATAGAATCCTTGTGCCTGGACCGGCCGCGCATAGTGTACAGACCAGATAGAGCGCATCATAAAGCTCTTCCGGGCTCGATTTCGTAGTGAACATTCCACTGCACGTCCTTGCGAATGATGTGGTCCTGACTGCCCTGGCTGCCGCCGCTATCGATCGAGTCATGCTCTCGGGCGCTGGGGAGCTTGTTCTTCATCGGAACTGGCGGTGTTTCTTCGTTGTCGCTATGCGATCTGCCGCCAGACCGGGATTTGGCAGTACCGCTGCCATTGACAGAACCCATCTCGTAACCATTGGTGGTCCGCCGACCAGATCCGTATGCTTGCGTGAGTGAAGGATCGAGCTGAATGCCGAAGCCGCTGCTAAAGCTCTTCACAAAGGATTTCAGGTTGGGAATGGTGGCTGAAATAAGTGACCAGCAAAGCTGCACTTGCTGTATCACGACAACGGGCACGATCGCAATGCCAGGATTGTCGGAGCCGGTATACTCGGCTACGTAGTGGAGGTGGAGAATCGAGAGTACAGCAACCCTGGGATATCGTCAGTGTAGGCCGGTCATACAGAGTGTTCACACTCACAGGAGGCGGAATGAGAATGCAAGGACCACCTGACACTTCATGGCAAAGGACAGATGTACGGGCCAAACGACACAAATCACAATCAGGATCAAGACCCCTTCTGTCACGACATCAAAGGCTGTAATCAGCTGCCAGCGAAGAAACTGCCATCGTCAGAATTGTTTGTGGGATATCTGCACCGAGCAACATACCTGGTGAGCGCAACTTGCTGAATCGCCTCGAATAAAGCCGGGAATCGAGCAGTCAGCTGCGAGCGCGACAATGGAGAGGATGGCCCAAAGTGACACTCCTGCCAACACAGCCAATCCAATCCAATAGAACACCCTCTGACGCAGCTTCTGGCCCGTCTTGGGTCCTGACAGATTGAAAAGTCTCATCATCAAACACAACGTTGACGCCTTCGCCGCAGCGGCAGAGAGGATGAACAGTATTTGAGCGGCAAAAGTAGCCTGGCCGTATTAGCGATTCATCACGCAGTCAAACCACGGGTCCTACTCACTCGACTGGCCTTTGTCACCTCGCTTTGACGGAGGAGAAGCTGAGTCTTGCCCAGCCCATGGTGTAGTCCTATCATGACTGCGATCACCTCTCCCACCTGGATGAGCTGCGGCTACAATCAGCCGATGGTACACAGCAAGGTTCGGCGCGTTTCTTCTCACCGTCGCCACCAACGCAATGTAATCATCTAACCCATAAATTCTCAGCCGAAGATGACCTCTCAACGCCAGTGTGAGAACTGAGTATATCAGACATAGGATACTGGCGATCCAGACCGACCCGGCGTGGTCATCAGGTGTGATCTCAGCGAAACGGTTTCCCGTCAAAGCGTCGCCCATGTTGGATAGCGCAAGTCGTCCGCTCTTAGACAAGTTGTGGTGTCCGACCGTGGGAGGATCTCGTTTCGGAGCAGCAGAGCGCGGAGGAGGGTTTCACCCAGAGGATATCAATGTCAACCTCTACACACCACCGCCGCCATTTGGAACCTGAATCAAACAATGCGCCGAAAATATGAGGATTTTCTCACCGACGACAGGTGCGGTTCGTCGTGAATGTATAAGGTTGCAAGGATCCAGCGTTCTGGGACAGGCCCTCAATTTCCGCTTCTTGAATGGCATTCACAGATCCCCTGTTTGCCGAGCTGCGCCTCCGAACCCTGTGGCTTCCAATGATGTAGCTGGCACAGATAAGATAGCTGAAGAGACCATTGGGAGAGGTCTCCGCGTCCTGCGAAACCTGGACCACGGCGAACACGCTATAGGGGTCACTGAGCATGTCCGGGGTTGATGCATGGCCTGACCGGAAAAGGTCCGATAAGCAATCGGCTGTGAGAGGACTGTAGCAAGGTCAAGCAGAGTCCGAAACGCTTACTCTACGACTGGACGGGAATTGAAGGGGCCGATCATCATCGAACTACGGGGTGAGCTGAAGCCATGGCTGAGGGCCGGGGTTGATTGCGTGGAGGGTGAGCAGATGACAAGGCAAACGGACGAATAGAGACTGCCCACGCAGAGAATGGATGTGTTTGTGGCACGCGTCTGACTTTGACAGCGGCTGGTCAGCATGTTGACTGTCCTGTGACGCCAGGACAGGTCAACTGTGATTGCAAGGTGGGTGTGGGCTGTCTGTTGATCGGTGAGCTCTGCGCTCGGCAACCATGAAGCATGGAAAAAGCATTGGTCGAGTGCAACGGGTTGGCGCGATTATCGCATCGAAAGTTCATGGTCATTGTTTGTGGTGCCCGGCTTAGCGTCCGACAGCGCATGGGGCTTACCCACCAGTGCCCACCAAGCCAGACAGGGCTGGTTCTGGGGGTTCCCAACCCCGAGCGCTTGGGTGGGGCCTTGTCGCTGTTCGAGTCCCGCTTCGTTACCGAGATAAGTAAACTCTGATGGATAACCAGTCAACGCCGAGGAAGCCGGCGTGCTCTGTGGTGCAAAGTGGATTCCCCCTCGCTGCATCCGCCCCTCCTCGTGAAAGTCACTTTGTGGACTACCAGTGGCATGTTCGAGGACCGACATTGTTTCAATATCGGTTGAGAGGCGAGAGCACAAGGCTCGAATTGCCCGACACTCGAGATTGGCTGCTTTTCGTCGACCCTTGCTTTGATGTCAGACCGAGTTGGGATGTGCCAGTGGACAATTTCACATGGTACTGGGCATCACAAAAGTCACTGCATAGCCACCAGTGTTCGGCTGCATCTTCTGCTGCACAAAGCGAAACATCGGATGCCTGAAAACCCCTGAGAGTCTGGAAGTCAAGGAACAGCAAAAGCTTGCAGCTTCTTGGACTTTGGAGGTCTGGCTTGCTGAGTGGCGTCTTGATGTGGACATTCCAGCACATGGGGCTTAGCCCTTCAGGTACCGAAAGCCTCCGGGGATGTCAAGCCCGCTGTCACCTGCGTCTAGATTCTGTCACGTCAGTCTACATACATCAAATAAAAACATTTCTCCCACGAAGAAGTCCGGGTGGTCGTCCTGTGAAGGAAATACTGGAATCTGAGGTGCAGAAAGAGGCTACCGGATACGGCATGGCCTCGATCTTGGCGTCAAATACGCGATTGTGGTCGAGCTTGCCCATTGTTCAAATGGGTGCCGGTGCCGACCGGAAGCTGCAAGGCGCTAACTAGCCAGCGACGCCCCGAAGTCCCCACCAGTTTTAAACCCAGGGAGCCCGGGAAGCCTAAGGAGCCGCGAACTCATCCCCTCGGCTGGAATGACCGCGTCGCTTCCTCCCGTGGTTACTAGACTCTAGAGTGCCCGCAGTTCGATCCAGCCGATAGACGCTTCAAGGACATCCGTAGAGAACATTTTGGTCGTGCCAAAGGCCCTCCATTGTGCTCGTGGCCACTTGATGTACTGTACTTGGTAAGATTTGGAGGGAAAGTGGCTGCTGCTGTATTCGCCACTGCCGAAGTTGGAGGCTGGGATTTCATCTCCGTTGAAGCGACTTGTTATCACACCTCAGTCAAGGTGCATACGAGGTAGGGACGCTGTCAAATGGTATGCAGGCGAGTGGAGCAGCGAGTGTGCATCCCCTGACTCTTCGCTTACCTCGACTCCTCAATCGCCTCATGGCTTTTGTCACTTTGGTCGGGTCCCCGAGGCCACCAGCATGCAGCTTACACTCGTGGCCGCCGTGGGCTCGTACAAGTCTCGAGCATCTCGATACCTGCGCCGCCACGGTAGGAAATGTAGATGTCGTTGACCGAAGTCTGACTGACATGCTATTGTATACACAGTACCGTCGGCTCCAAGGCGCCGCCACCATATTGGCCTTACCGTTTGCTGCTCGACTGCCCTGGCCCTCCGTCGTCCTTGCACCAATGAAACTGCTTGCTTCAAGTGCTGGACACGCGAGAAATAGGGCGTTCGCAGTATTTCTCACTGCCAAGTAGCAG